AGCGCCCCCCGCGCCCCGCTCCGCCTGTCCCCGCGCCCCAGTCCGCGCCCGCCATGCCCGAGCAGCTCAGCGTCGCAGAGTTCCTGTCCGTCACCGCCGAGGACCTCAGCTCTCCGGCCGGGGCCGCCGCCTTCTCCGCCAAGATGCCCCGGTGCCGGGGGGCAGCGTTGGCTCGGGAGGAGGTAAGGAGGATGAGGCGAGGGTCCGCACAGGAACTGGCCTTGACCTTTACAGGCGTGACCGGAGCTGCGATGGCCCTTCACTACGTCCCAGAAACCAGTTCCCTCCCTAGATAAGTGAGAACCCAGCGCATCTCAAACATCTGTGTCCTCGCCGTCGAGCCGGGGGCAGGGCTCGAGGGACCGTTTGGGGGCGGAGGCCTCGAGGTCACCTAGATCCCAGACCCCACGGGGCGGGGAACATACCCCAAATGTTCTCGGTGACCTGCCCTGTTACATATGTGCTCAGCAACTTTCCAGCGTTTTCGTCCTCAGAGCCCCACCGTGTGCCCCCACGCCACGCCGTGCCCTTCAGAGAGCAGGTTTCTCCTCGGTCCTGAACTAACTTCTCCTCCTCGCCGGGAGGCCCCTTGCCCCTTGCTGTGGTTCGGAGATCTGGCCGGCGTTTGTGGAATGAGCGCGCATGGGAAGGCGCCAGGAGCCAGGGTTCACCTTGGCCAGGCTGTTGGCAAGTTCGTCTCCTCTCCCCTCCCCTCTCCTCTTTGTCTTTCCAGCAAAGCGTCCCAGGCCTTTTCTTTCGTTCTTGCAGGCTGCCCCACCCCGTTCCCATGCTCACTGGAGTTCATTCCTCTTCTGCAAACCTGCTGCAGTTTCCCGGGCGCTCTGCAGGGAATATTCCAGGGCAGACACCCAGGGGCTCTGGGCCAACAGGGAGAATAATGTGTTTTTGCAGCTCCTTTCCAGAGGATGCCCTGAATTTGGGTGGCATTTTGGAGCTCAGCAGCAGCTCTAGCCTTCCACCCTTCACCCTAAGTGTGCCTGGCATCTGTTATGTGGTAGATAGTAAGCTTACCAGTTCCTGATACTCTAACCCAAGAGCTTGGGAACTCTCACCTTCTTCCCCCTGGCAGGCTGCCCTCCATCTCTGAGTCTGATGGGGGATTGTGGAAAGAGCATCAACTCTGGGAGAGGCAGACTTGTGTTCAAATCTTGGCTGTGCCTTTTGCCAGGTCTATAAATGCAGCTCCCACAGCCTGCAGGTCGTTTTGCTACACGCAAAGCACCCCCCCCCCAACAGAAGGCTTGTGACATTCAAACACAGCTTCTCTCTTCAGCGTTTCACTGCCCCCAAAGTTAGTCTGACCTTTGGATTAGACTTCCCTGAGGTTTCCTTGTTTGATTTTGCAGTCCTATTTCTGTTTGGGTGAGCTCGAGCAGGAGGCCCGATCTGTCACCTGTAAAATGGGGATAATGGTGTGTACCGCACAGGGCTGTGGTGTCCGTGAGGCCGAGGACCCACGATCTCGATCGGCGGAATGGTGACTTCAGTAAACCCACTGACCTCTTTGGGAGTGCTTGGATCTCGTTCATCCTCATTTCTCTCAGAGCCTCGCCTAGTGCTGTGCTAGTAGGGAGACATGTTTTATCCATAATTAAAACAAAAAGCTGCCAGTAGTGAGGCTTAACTTCCTTGGGTGGAACCAGTAGCTTGGAGTCCTGTCTGTGCACGTGGGTTACATTTCCCTAGGAGACTCCCAGGGAAACACCGCCACAACAGTCCCCCTCCCGATCCCAAGATCTGCCTTCACAGCTTCGGACTTCATGTCCATCGGCAGCCCTGGCCTTCCCTCCTCCAGGTTGTTGGCTAACGTGTTAGATGGGCGCAGAGGGGACTGCACTGTGAACCCTTCTGCATGGACAGAGATGCCCATCTGTGCCCGCGTAGCTGGCCTTGCCTGGTCTGTATGTGTAAGTGTCTGTGCGCGTCCCGAGGGAGGGGCCAGGCAGTGGCACGGTGATAAACCATGACGCGCTGCAAGGCTGACCCCCGTGGGGTTCTGAGATCACAGCCAGAGACCTCCCTGAGTATGATGGGTCTGTATGTGCTTCTAATCACAGACTAGTTGAAGCTGAGGATGGATTGTGGCTTCAAGACCCCTTCGGGGGTGTCATCTCTCTGTCTCTGTCTCATTTATGTAAGAAACAGATCAACTTTTCTTTTTTTTTAAGAATTATTTTATTTAACTTATTTATTCATTTTAATTTGACCAGAGAGGGACATAGAGAGCCAGCGGGAGAGGGAAAGTGAGAAAGCAAGCTGCCAGTTTCGGGACTCAAACCGTGGTCAGCTATGAGGGAGTCCAGTGCCCTTAATCACCATGCGACCTGCTGGCCCTGATAAACTTTTTTAAAAAGAAAAAGAGGGGTTGGCAGGTGGCATGGTGGTTAAGGTGCTGGAGTCTCACATGCTGACGGCGGTTTGAGTCCTAGACCTGGAGGCTTGAAAATCACACCAGGTGCATGTGCATGCATGCCCAAAATCCTGAGAGGAGAATGGAGGAGGAATTGTGGCATGGCCAACGCTTCTTGGTGGGGGGATTGATTTCTCACTTTCCTTCTCTCTGTCGCTGTCTCTCTCCAGTGAGTGCACATGCCCTACGCCGAAAACCTAAAAGAAAAATAAATGGGTCTGGAGAGGCTCTGGCCAGGGTTCAACGTGGACCCCATTCAGTCCAGCCACAATGCAGTTCCCCCAGGCTGCAGGTCGTTTTGGTGCACACAAAGGTTCGTTTTTGCCAACAGAAAGGCTTGTGGCACCCAAACAGCTTCTCTCTTCAGCATTTCAGTGCCAAAAAGTGACAGTCTGACCTTTGGATTTGACTTCCCTGAGGTTTCCTACTTGGTTTTGCACTTGTATTTTTATTTTGTTATTATATCGTGTTTACATGTAGTTCGATGCAGCAATTTTTTCCCCTAGCTCTGGGCATGACTAACCCACTCCTAGGCTTGAAGCGCTATTTGTCTGAATCAAAATGATTCTTAAATCAAGTCTTCCAGTTCCGGCTAGTTCCCGGGAGTAACCAGGAGCTCCGTCCTGGGACACTCAGCCCTTTTTGCAGCCCCGCAGGGAAGGACTCTGGGCAGGTTACAGGAGACTAGAATGTCGGAGCCAGGGGCTCGTTACGACGGAAATCAGGGCTAGCTCTGTGGTCTGGTGATAAAGGAGCCAAACCGGCATGGCCAGTCATGCAGTTCGAATCCTGATAGCTTGAAAAACATGCCAGCACATGTACAGAGTACCCAGAACCCTGATAAGATGGAGAGATAGTGGAGGAAGGATCGGGAGGCGACCATGCCCCACTGGGGGTGCTTTCTTCTCCTCTCTCTTTCTGGCACGTGCACACATTCTCTGACAAAGTGGGAAAAAATAAAGATCAGCTAGAAACTCTCCTTTTTTAAAAAAAAAAAAAATATTTTATTGAACTTTATTTATTTTAAAAATTTGACCGGAGAGGGACAGTGTGTGTGTGTGTGTGTGTGTGTGTGTGTGTGTGTGTGTGAGAGAGAGAGAGAGAGAGAGAGAGAGAGAGAGAAAGAAAGCAAGCC